TCGTAGGATTGGCATAGTTATAGGAAGGCGAGGGGTGAGTGCAGCCGTACAATGGCATCGCTGGATGCCCTTCAACACCCTCTTCAGAAGCCACGCATCTACTAAGGGGCCGGCAAACCCATTCTCAAGGTGGGCTTTATGCACCGCACTCGCATACACAGATACAGTTCAGGGCACGCTGATCATAGTTCACGCATGAATGTGTGTCCAGGAACGATGACTCGGGCAGCAAAAGTGAGCTTCCCCAGGAGGGACTCGAGTTGACGCTGGCCGATGCTGCGCTCGCTGATAGTAGCCATGAGTGGCGCACGGATCTCGGACAGCTTGTCCTCTGGTAGCCGAGCTTCGTGGCGCTCGCAGTCTAGGACAATACCAAGGAAGGTCAATGATGGTGATGGCCCTTCGAGCTGGGATGGAGCAAAGAGGAGTGCCGAGATACGTGAACGCCCGGAGGGGAGATGGTGAGTTGCTGGTTGGCTGCAGCCAAACCAGTGGAGATATCGAGAAAGTCATCGAGGTAGTGAAGCCGGTGATCTATAGCAAACTCGTGCTGCATGATCCAGTTGACTGCTGTGGCTACTGAGTCAAAGACGGCTGGGCTGGAGCGGAGGCCGAAAGGCAGAAAGCGCTCGTAGTAGTAGGAGCCTTCCCAGCGAAGTCCTGGCGGCGGACTGGGATCGGCCGAAATGCACTGCGTACATCGAGCTTGGACAAATACACAGGCTGTGGGCATGACATGATGATGTTGATCGCGTTGTCGATGCTCGCGTAGTGCAGAGAGAGCGGCTCGGCAGGAATGCTGGCGTTCGCGCCGGTGCCTTCCGGACTAGACAGATGGTGGATCATTCGCGGCTTGCCGTTCTTTTTGGGGATGGCACCAATACCAGAGCGGCGCATGAACTGAAATGGAGGTGACGGAAATGGGCCTGTGGTCTCGCTGCGGGCGCAGGAAGCAGCTAATTGCTCGAATATAAATGCCGAGTGAGTGCAAGCCAATGGTAGATTATTAGAGAAAACCGAAATGTCGTGTTGGCCGGCAGATCCAAGAGTAAAGCCACGGCGCAGGCCATGGAGAACATACACAACACATGATTGATCTGAGTGGTTACGTAACAGGCGGGCAAAGTGGTCAGCTAGCAGTGTGGTGTCTGCAGAGTGTATAGGAAAGAAGCTACGTACCGAGTCAAGCGATTCAGTAGCCATTCTGCTAGGAGCGGCGGGGTGGCCGATTGGCTCCGCGCTGCTGCTGGTTGCACATGATGCATGGGTGGTCCTTGCCACACTGGCTGCAGGTGTGGGAGAAGCGGCACGACGACGAAGAACAGCGACCTCCATTGAAGTTGCGGCAGATTTCTTGGCCGTCGCTGGTATGGTTGCGACCACTGGAGGTAAATGCTGCTGGCTTCGGGACGAAAAGGACACAAACCGCCCCTGGATGGACCGTCTTACATTGAGCGCATTTTGGGTGTGCATGGCCTGTGACAGCTATCTGCCATAGGTTCACGTCGATGGTGTCCAACCTCTTCGTGCCTGGTTACTGGGCCACGAGCATCCGCAGCTGGCGGTCGTACTCTAGCCACGCGCTTGGGAAGAACTGGCAGTTAGCAGTCAGGATCAACTGCTGGTACGCAATCAGTTCAGCAGTGCGGTGTAGGGCAGCAGCCGTGATAACAGACATGTATGTGGTCCATGCCTCGAGCAGGGTAGCTACATGTGTAATTATCGTGAACCTTGCGACGCACCTGCTTCGCGTCATCCGACTCAACGATATTTAGCTGGCTATCGTTATTCGGGCTGTGCACCAGCCGGAATGTTGGGCCGGAAGTGTGCAAGAATTTCAGGCAACAAACTTGAAAAATCTACGAACTCCCCTCGCAAGATACGGTCTTGCACAGCCTTGGGCACAGCTGGTGCAGGTGGCTGATCGGGTGGATTACAGGAGCTTGGCCTGGCGTAGTGGCGGCAGCTGCCGCATTGCCTTGGCCTTGGGTGAGGAGCGGCGCAATGCTCTCCGATAATAATAAAATGGCGGCCGACAGAGCCGACTACACCTCGTCCCGTACGGGAGCGCAGAGATCCGTTGAGCCCGCGTCACCTGAGCTGGCGGAGGAGGCATTGGTGCACGTCGGGCTTCTGGGCTCGCGAGCCGTGTCCGCACTGTCATGTTGCTGGTTCTCCTGGCCGGAGCAGACCTCACTACCAAGGGCTAGTTGTGCCAGCAAACGGTCCTGTAAAATACTTTTACTAAGTTTCCTTTCGGATTCAAGCCGCGCTGAGAAGGCTCGCCGCGGAGGGCTTGGCAAGGCATTGCCTTGACAGTGTCGACAGTAAGGTCAGACATACTGAAGAAATACAGTGACTCGAGGTGACACTCGGGCTGGCAGCAAAGCTACGAAAGGAAAAGAAACACTGCTGAAGCACGATCCGTTGTCTGGAAGAGCACAACAGGGCAAGCAAGATTTGTTTTTCTTTTCCGCAAAAATGGGCTGGTGCCATTTGTGATTACGCAGCAAAACAAAGCGCATGACGTCAGTCTTGAATGCAGTACAAAGCAATGCAGTGCAGTGTGTGCGCTAGTTCGGATTGTTGCTAACAAGTACTAGCACAGCTAGTACACCATTATCTACCTCCACTGAGGAGCTCAGCTTATTGAGCGAAACAGCTGTCTGGAGGATATGGAACATCTACCCCAGAACGGACTTCCTCGCTATGGAGTGCCGGTGTTGTGCCGGTGTTGTGCCGGTGTTGTGAATGTGCTATGGAGTGCCGGTGTTGTGAATGTGCTATGGAGTGCCGGTGTTGTGAATGTGCGCCAAGAGCGCAGTGTGGAGATGTGGATGACGGTTAAGATTATTTTCAAATGGCCGTTTGTCGCTGCTTCTAAGCTGGTTTATATCCAAAAAGTAAAGATGTGAATCACAGCAGTTCACTCTATCATAGCGTGATGCATACTTCAAGTGATACGCATAGCGGCAGTCTGACTGCCACTGTCCAGGATGATCAGCATCTTATGTCCCTTTCAGGTCTTCACCAGCTCGGCATGTCTCATCCACATCGTTTGTATCTTTCTCGTCTTGTCTTGCTACTAATCCGTCATTGTTTGCCCCCCTCCCTCAGACTTCAAGATGTCATACGCTGAGCATTGGGCATGTCACCCATCATCCATGTGACACGTCAACAGGCAATGCTTATGTTGAATCCTGGCAGTCCTGCACATTGCCTGGCCGGGATTGTGTGTTTCTGTGTGCATGGCACCGGTATCTCCTCCTGTGACGTCGTGCGCTGCGGTATGTCATGTAGAGTCAACGTGTAACTGGTCGAGAACCAGGTACTGTGCTAGGCACGGAGAGGGAGATGTAGTGCTTACTGTCGTACCGGTGTTTGTCTTGGCTTACACCCGTGCCATTGTCATCATAGTTATCGCTTGGCAGATAATACAAGTACAGATGATTTGCAATGGTGCCATCCTCTAGCAAGCATAATACATGTATTATGGTATAATTCACTACACGTACTATTTACACACACCACACACAAACACACGCATACACACACACACGCACACACACGCATACACACATACACACATCTAGGCTTAACAGTCATGGCTGTTGATTGTTTAATGACGTGAATTTCGGCTCTTGTGGTAAACACTGGAATCCGAGGACATTCGCACACTGGTCGGGGTTGGGGAGACGACAGAGGAGATGGGCACGGATCTCTCGATTTCGAACTCATTGACACATGGTGTGTCTACGCCTCCTTCCCCGACGACTGGGCTAGAGTCCGCTGAATCAGGTCTCTGCCTTCCCCGACGACTGGTCTAGAGTCCGCTGAATCAGGTCTCTGGCAGACTGAGTGAGAGTACCGTGAAGTACCGCCAGAGCGCCCCGTCTCGCGAGAGCGCCCTACCTCGATTTGTTTTATTTCACGAAAGGACGAGATGGCGGTACTTTACGGAACAACTGAGAGTATGGCTGAGAGTGGTCCGATAACACAAGGAATCAGCTATTATAGAATATAATGGATGCTTTTCTCTTCTTGCTAAGCATTCAACACAAGAAACATGTAGTTCAAATGCTCTATTCACTTGAAAAGGCAAGTGTTAACATTTGAGCTATTCTCTCAGTTCGCAGTAGACTTGTTCTGAGCGATTACAAAAGTACAGGCAGGCCGGTGCACAAACCCAGTTAGTGAAGCCACACGTACTGCCAAGCGTCAGCCTACTAGTGTCATGCATTCGGCATGGAAGTCAGAATCCCAAAGACACAGGACTCAATACTCGATGGTACCCTTCAAAGGAAACACACTATTAGCCCTACCGGTCTCATTGTACAATTGGACGTACTAGATGTTCTAAGAAGTATAGCATAACTCCATTGATTGTGACCTTAACTTAGCATGTCACAGCCCACAAAACCACACTCCACCAAGTTAGAATTGAAGAATCGTGTATAGTCAAGGGCATAGTCCTGGTGTCGGCGCTGCAATTTCCATATGCTCCTGCTCAGAACAAGACATACACTGCCTCTGATGCCACTAACAACTCGTTTACAGTTTGCATGGCACTCATGGAAGGATCGATGGGCTTCACGCATCTGTCAATGACATTCAGGCAGAAGAGCCAACAAATGTCACCTCAATATTGCTAGCTGTAGGGAATAGCAGAAAACCTGAAAATACTGTATCCCACGTACACAAAGGCACACAATGAAAACCTGGCAAATTAATTCCGTTGTGACTCAGAGTATTGTTTAAGTCGTGCACTGGCATGCGACGTAGTGTGTTCATAGCAATACCAGGATCAGGTCCACGCTCATAGCTGACGTCAGAGCGAGTAAGAGGATCAGCTTCCACATTCTTCATCGAAAAGGTGTGAACTGGTGGCGACCAGTGCGGATGTCTCCGACAAGACGCATATCGCTACCAGGCAGCCCTTGCCCTTGCCAGTCCCAGTTGGTTTAACATGCGCATCACATGAAGTATGACATGAAGGTAGCGGACATTTTATGGAATAGCCTCAACACAAGACCAGTAGTAATACACGTACATACTGTTACAACATGTAGTGCATGCACAGTGCAGCACGACAACGTCCACCTCCATGCAGCTGGATCCGTACCAGTCCTCCTCATACCACCACATACATGTACGGCAACACAAGCATCTTTCACTGTAACAATGGAGCGCTATAAAAGAACGGTTTAAGCGGCAGGAATTTCAGATCGTCAGGCCCAAGGTCAAGAAATTTCAAGGCCCTCACATCGAGAAATAAAGCTTTGTCAACCGTCAGAAAAGATGATTGGAAAGGTTGTTGTAGTTCTGGCGGTCGTGGCCATTGCCATGTCTGCTCCAGTGCAGCATCAAGAACAGCAGCAAGATGGTGGCAGTGAAAGACAGCAGCAGCATCGACCGCAGATGGGTGATCATGGTTGTCCAGAGAATGTCACGCGTGAAGACTGCATGCAGAAGATGAAGGCAATGCTTGAGCAGCAAAGACAAGGTGGCTCTGACGAACCTCTTCACTTGGGACGCCGCCCGACAGGTCGACCTACGGGAAATAATGAGCAAGGATCACACGGAGAAGGACTTGATGACGGTCGTTCCCAGCAGCCCCATGGTGGTAGACAAGACGGTGAGAGACCAACAAGGCAAACTGACGAACATCCGCAAGCTGGAGAGCGACCAACTGGGCAAAGTGGACGCGGTGGTCGTCAACATGGCGAGAGACCAACCAGGCAAACATCTGATCGCCAGCGGGAGGGTGGCGAGCAACATGAGAGACCGAGTGGATCGACTCCGCATGGCTTGCAGGGAGAGCGGCCATCGGGTAAGCCACGTTCGTCAGATCGCCAGCAACGCTCAGTTGTCTTCCAGCATCAAGAGGATGATGAAACTACCGAGCAGCGCCCCAGTCACGACCATCCCTCAAACCACCACGACGAACACAGATCCAACCAAGAAGAGCAGCGCCCCAGCCATGAGGAGCAGCACCCGAGCCATGAGGAGCAGCGCCCTAGCCATGAGGAGCAGCGCCCCAGCCATGAGGAGCAGCGCCCGAGCCATGAGGAGCAGCGCCCCAGCCATGAGGAGCAGCGCCCGAGCCACGAGGAGCAGCGCCCGAGCCACGAGGAGCAGCGCCCCAGCCATGAGGAGCAGCGCCCGAGCCACGAGGAGCAGCGCCCGAGCCACGAGGAGCAGCGCCCCAGCCATGAGGAGCAGCGCCCGAGCCACGAGGAGCAGCGCCCTAGCCACGAGGAGCAGCGCCCCAGCTATGAGGAGCAGCGCCCCAGCCATGAGGAGAAGCGCCCCAGCCATGACGAGCATCGCCCCAGCCATGAGGAGAAGCGCCCCAGCCATGAGGAGAAGCGCCCCAGCCATGAGGAGCATCGCCCCAGCCATGAGGAGCATCGCCCCAGCCATGAGGAGAAGCGCCCCAGCCCTCAGCATCGCCCCAGCCATGAGGAGCATCGCCCCAGCCATGATGAGAAGCGCCCCAGCCATGAGGAGCATCGCCCGAAACATGAGGGAGACCATCATCTCCTACATGATGAGTAGCATCATGGCGGAAGATACATTAACGATCAGGATTTCTTACTTGAATATACTTAGAACCTTTCTATCTATATCTATGAGTATCGCACAATATCTTCCTTTCTCTCGCTCTCTTTTTTGTGTGCCAGTGTCCCTCTCACCATCTTAGACTCTCTCATGCTCTCCTTATCTCACTCACGCTCTCTGTCTCTCTCTGTCTCTCAATCTGCCCAGGTTGTTTTCTTCTTTAAAAATTGGATTAAAACCCCGTGGCATACATGTGCATATTTCCACTGGTTCTCATCTAGAGACGAGATGCCCTTGGAAAAAGGTTGAATTCAATCTGACCTTATCTGTTTCGCAAAAACCTCGTACCTTTCCTGTACTTCAATACTAGTATCGTGTAACGTTCAGTAGAATTCTACAACAATTTTGATTCATGTATTTGCAGCTGATCACCTCTATCTGTGTTTCCAAAATGCATTGCTCTGGAAACCAAGTTACATGTACCCGTAACGTTACTTGAGCTATTGAATACGATTGTGTTCTTCCATTGATTGCTCGTAGTCAGCGATATAAAACTATTCCTTTCATGAAACTGACGTTAGTATCTGTCGTTGGTTTAATAGGGGGGGGGGGGGAGTTAGGGTCTAATAGTTTATCCACAATGAGTTGCAGCACTTTTTGAGGTCCCACTACATGCACGCATCAACACAAGGCAAAAACTAGTGAAAACAGATTTACTGGCGCATGAAGATGACATCAGATGCTACTACATGTATGCACCCTTCATTATGCTCAATCAACACAGTGTGCCCTGCATGATATACACACACATACACACACGCGCGCGCGCGCGCGTACAGCAGGACATAATATACCAGACTGCATTCCACCATAGCTACAACATTAACGCGAAAGTGATATTCCCATTGCCCATAGAACATTACTGCATTGTACAGTCTTGCTAGGTAGAATCCGACAAATATAGTTTGTACGTGCATATTTTGCGCTCAGGACTCGCACGGACCTTGATGCCTTGGACGTGGTGCGGATGCTGCTGCTACACCTACACATGTACGAATACAGTGATGTAAATCAGAACTGGTCCAGGGCGCCAGCTTTGCACCGTTGGGTCGGATACCTAGAAGCGGCTCTGGAAGTCAGCGGTATGTGTCGTACAGCACTAGCCTAATCCGGTTGAACCTCAAAGGAGAAACGGAGTTGGCCCGTGGCCTTATTACCTCGGAATGAAACATCACCGCGTATGATACGGATAGAAGTCAGCATGCATTATTGAAGCACGGTCATTTTTTCCTGATGATGGTCATAGGTCGAAACGGTGAATGAACAAAAGAATGTTGACTCGGTAAAGTGCAGAAAACAGTGCAATTTGAGGTGTGGCTGTTAACCCTCAAACATAATTTGTTATAATGAAGCTGCAAGAAGCGTCCAAACTCATCTTGGGTTATTTTTAACTTGTTAGAATCTCTTCAAGATCCTCGTGTTCAAACCGGAAGATCGCATAGTAAAAAAGTACAGTCTCAGTCTGCCTTGTGTGTAAGGAAGGCCGGCCCATTGTGATGTGCATGTAGATAGCTGTGTGACCAGAGCCTAGGGCCAATTCCATTGTGTACAGTATTGCACACACACTCCGCACTCCGCAGACCAATGTGGGCAGGCAGAAGAGTATGACACTAATGGTCACACCTCGCTCCTCTTCGCATTGTGTTCATGTACGTGTACATGAACACAATGATTGTACAATGCATAGGGCTATGTAGATGTACAGTGTTCTGGACATCTATACTGTAAGTGTGCTGCATAAAATGTATACTGTATACTGTACTCAAGTGAGAATTCAAGTCGGCAGGAAAACCGCGAGCTCCCATGTAGGGAGCAACACACTCTTCCCTGTACAGTGTTCTGTAGATGTACAGTACTACAGTGTTCTGTAGATGGATCATAGCGTGTGTTGTTCGCTTCACTTTCCTGCATACGTGTAGTCCAATTTCAGTCCGTGTTCACTGGCTCCCACTTGCTTCTAAGTTCTAATTTAACACCTGGCAGAGTATATCTTGCATTACTTTGATCTGTATTGCTCTCCGTTGCTCTCCCCGCTAGAACTAGTCAATGATGAAACCGGGTTCTGAGTTTAACGAATCGGCCTCTGTTGGATGTACGTGATGTAGGTGGGCTGTGTTCATATTGGCATTAAATGCAAACAAATTTTGTAGAACCTGTTCGCGTGTTGACGACAGATGGATACATGGATATGCATCACATGGATATGCATTACATCATGGATATGCATTACATCATGGATATGCATCACATGGATATGCATTGCTCATGGACGACATTACCTGCACTGTATGTGCTTGCGCATGTTTGTACTGAGCGTTTCTCCAAGAATTTAAGCCCTAAAATGGCGCTGCTACGAGAACCGCTGGCCCTTCCGACTCGTGCTGAATTGAAAATTACAGAGTGAGTACCTTTAAAGTTTCGTAGGCCATTGTCGTCATACAGTTGCGTATCACATCAATTAGTATTTGAAAAGCATACGCATGTTGTTCTTTGGTAATAACTAGAAACCGTTCTCCACTAGAAAACGTTCTCTCCACGACATTGGGCATATCATAGATTCACATGGCAAGCTCCTTACTCACTGGTGTATTCCGTTAACGTTAATTGTGTTGATCAGCCTTATTTTTTCTGCTCTTCGAAGTGCGTAATACCAGTGGTACATGGATGGCAGCAAGTCTTCGGTAAAGCACTGCAGCCTATGAATATTGTACACTGGGTGAACTCTCCATCGAGATGAGAGTTATGGGCTATGGACAGTATCGTGCAGGCTTGTCACGCGGATGGGTGGATACAAAATACAGTGTGAATAATGGTTTTACAGGCACAATGCACTACTTGTATTTGCGTCTGCTGCGCTCTGACTGGGCCAGGCGAGCGTTATGTCAACGAAACGGCGATGCGCGTACCGTACCAACCTCGGGAGGAGATCTGTACTTCAGAAGTAGTATTAAAGCACTGGTATTTTGAATGTTCGCATCCATGTCAGTGTCAGTACATCATTATTATACAGTGTCCTGTCCGTTCCAGATTCATTCAGAGAGCGAACGTGACTAGTATAGTATACACTACAGTCAGTGTAGTGATACGGGTTGTGCACGTGATACTGACAAATCCTATCAGTGCAGTGCAAGGGCAGACCGAGTACCGACGTACGGAGTGTGTTGGGAACGCCAGCTACAGGTACAGCCGTCTCCAAAGCACGTGTGAGACATTGACGGCGACCATCGCGGACATCTCCGACGCGGCGCATGTCCGACTGCAGTTCGCTCCGTGCCAGGTAGATGTGACAGGCGCTGCGCGATGCAAGACTACAGCCAAATATTGACGGCACAGCCATCACATAACACGAGAGAGGCAGCATAATATCCATCTATTAGTATTACAACCATAGTCTCATAGATGTAGCATAGCCTTCTCCTCACACCCCCAGTACCACACTACATTACGGCGCATACACCCACAAGAAGCGCAACGTGACGAGAGGTACGAAAGGGACGTCTGGCACGAGATGGAACCGTACCAGTCTCTCGGGCACCACCGCACGTCACGCAAGTACCTTTCCACACCAGGGAAGTACTATAAAGGAACGGATCAATCCGCAAAGACTTCAAACTGCTCAGGACCAAGTCCAAGAAATTTCAAAAGTCTTCCGAAGAAGAAAGAAAGCTTTGTCAGCCGTCAGCAAAGATGATTGGAAAGGTTGTTATAGTTCTGGCCGTCGTGGCCATTGCCATGTCTGCTCCAGTGCAGCATCAACAACAGCAGCAAGATGATGGCAGTGAGAGACAGCAGCAGCAGCATCGACCGCAGATGGGTGATCATGGTTGTCCAGAGAATGTCACTCGTGAAGACTGCATGCAGAAGATGAAGGCAATGCATGAGCAGCAAAGACAAGGTGGCTCTGACGAACCTCTTCACTTGGGACGACGCCCGACAGGTCAACCGAATGTAAATGGAGAGCAGCTGGCACAAGGAGGAGATCGTAATGGAGGTCGTTCCCAGCAGCACCATAGCACTAGACCAGTCGGCGAGCGACCAACAAGGCAAACTGGTGATCGTCCACAAGGTGGTAACGAGCAGCGTGAGCGACCCACTGGAATGAGCCACCATCAATTCCAGGGAGAGAGACCTTCCGGTCAACCACTATCATCCCAGCGCCAGTCACGGTCTGTCAACCAGCAGCAAAATGATGAGGAACAGCGTCCCAGCCAGGGACAAGAGCAGCGTCCCAGCCAGGGACAAGAGCAGCGTCCCAGCCAGGGACAAGAGCAGCGCACCAGCCAGGGTCAAGAACAGCGCCCCAGCCAGGGACAAGAGCAGCGCCCCAGCCAGGGACAAGAACAGCGCCCCAGCCAGGGACAAGAGCAGCGCCCCAGCCAGGGACAAGAGCAGCGCCCCAGCCAGGGACAAGAGCAGCGCCCCAGCCAAGGACAAGAGCAGCGCCCCAGCCAGGGACAACAGCAGCTCCCCAGCCAGGGACAACAGCAGCGCCCCAGCCAGGGTCAGGAGCAGCGTCCCAGCCAGGGTCAAGAACAGCGCCCCAGCCAGGGACAAGAGCAGCGCCCCAGCCAGGGTCAACAGCAGCGCCCCAGCCAGGGTCAACAGCAGCGCCCCAGCCAGGGTCAACAGCAGCGCCCTAGCCAGGGTCAACAGCAGCAGGGACAAGAGCAGCGCCCCAGCCAGGGTCAACAGCAGCGCCCCAGCCAGGGTCAACAGCAGCAGGGACAAGAGCAGCGCCCTAGCCAGGGTCAACAGCAGCAGGGACAAGAACAGCGCCCCAGCCAGGGACAAGAACAGCGCCCCAGCCAGGGTCAACAGCAGCAGGGACAAGAGCAGCGCCCCAGCCAGGGTCAACAGCAGCAGGGACAAGAGCAGCGCCCTAGCCAGGGTCAACAGCAGCAGGGACAAGAACAGCGCCCCAGCCAGGGACAAGAACAGCGCCCCAGCCAGGGTCAACAGCAGCAGGGACAAGAGCAGCGCCCCAGCCAGGGTCAACAGCAGCAGGGACAAGAGCAGCGCCCCAGCCAGGGACAAGAGCAGCGCCCCAGCCAGGGTCAACAGCAGCAGGGACAAGAGCAGCGCCCCAGCCAGGGTCAACAGCAGCGCCCCAGCCAGGGTCAACAGCAGCAGGGACAAGAGCAGCGCCCCAGCCAGGGACAACAGCAGCGTCCCAGCCAGGGTCAACAGCAGCGCCCCAGCCAGGGGCAACAGCAGGCTCCACAAGATCTGGCTCAACCTGAAAATGCTCTGTAACACGGAAACAAACACCGTCGATTGATCTTATTCTTTCCTTTTTCTGTCACCAATCTACATACAAACATTTGACGTTTGCGCTGGGCTACACTTACTCACGAATCAACACTATGCAGTATTTGGACAACATGTCGTTTTCAATCCTTTTTATCCGGCGCATTATAAATATTTTATTTAAAAAAACAATTACCTCCTATCTTGCTATCTTGCCCGCCTTGAATTTTATCACACGCTATTTATCTATTCCGTTTTCTTTTTTCTTTACTCTATTTTCACGTACTTACGGCTTTCTTCATTCAGCTTTATTTCACGCACTTACCTAGGGTACCCTGTAAAAAGACTCACAGTCTGTGGGGATTGCCCTAGTAAAATACTACTACTACTACTACTACTACTACTACTACTACGACTATTCAATATTCATATGCGACTCTGGTTTGAGCTAATGTTGATTTGGATATTGATTGCACACTGAGGTCCTCCATGCCTTTTCGGGCAGGAGACTGACTCTCACTTGATCGTTAATACAATTATTATTCTGATCTGAAACATGAACGTGTTCTTACAGTGATAATTATACAAAAACTATTCGTATCGTGGATGCAAAGAATGAAAAGACTGAAGAGGAAAGCCGTAGTTCTGCACTTATAATGTCTTTATAAAAGCTTGGCATGACGGGGTGGGGGCAGTGAAGTTTGCACTGTTCAGTAACTGCTAGAATAATTGTATTGTCAAAGTACACTTTAGTTGCTCGAGGCACACATGAGTGATGATAGAAAGCCTCCTTTACGGAAGAATAGAGCAAAATTTCATCCGTGAATACTGAATAGTTTAACCCAACACAAGTGCTGTGTAGGCGCCGGCGGATTATGCCGCATAATTATTGGCATAATTTGGTGGTCCAAAATTTGGAGCATAAATTGGCATCCTTTCGGAGGTAGGAGCATAACTACATGATTGTACCACGATTCTAGTATGTAGCCTACACAATTGTGTACAATGCACCTGATCAGTGCTGGTGGCCTGCATGACAAAGGGTTTGGAGGTCATGCAGATTGTACTTTTTGTACTGTCTTTGCAACGTAACAATGACTCTGGCACCATGTCAACACAGCCTATAAGGGGTAACATTCACCAGGTTATTTCCTGTAACACGCCTAAATATTCCTGGAGCATTAATCTTCAGCCAGCATCGTAAGGTCATGACGAGTCTTGACGACCGTCTGACCTCAGAAGTCCTTCTTATGGCAGGGCATATTTTTTAGACAAAATCCGAAGATTAATGCAGAAACTATGCCAGAAATTATCCACCAAGGGATCGTGCTTGTATCCAGAATTGATTTTCTAGCACCGATCATCAGTGGAAATACGGAACTGAAGTGATCAAACTGAACAAACAAAGTTTAAGGCTGCGTTTACACGGCAACGCTGGGGGCGAAAACGCAACGAAATCCTTTCGGATCCATGGTTCATTCCACGGCACGCGGAGCAAAACGTAAAAGTTGTACACCAAAACGGAAGTAAACCAAAACGCTGGCCAAGGTGGAAGAATTTGAAAACGGAAATGTTCTGCCGGATAAATTTGGGTGTGTAAAACTAGCCATTGGCGGACTATGCTCGGCCAATCGTCAAATTATGCTTTTGATTATGCCACAATTATGCCAACAAATATGCTGAATTATGCTCGGTTCCACTATGTATTTACGCTGTACATAGAGGATTGAGAAACCACGCATACACACACGGCCATGCCCTAAGCATATTTTTTGTCTAAACCGAAAGATTATGCCGACCTTACACGTTGGAATCCGTATAATATGCCGGAGCATAATTTTTTGACGAAATCCCAAGATTATGCCAAATATTATGCCTGCATTTATTTATTTATTACAGCATCTCATAGCACAGTGAGAACACCGGCCAATACAAAGAGAGAGGGTGTTAGCCAACCACGGCAAGGAAGAGAGAAGGGGAGGAGAAGAAAAAAGGAACCGGCGTGGATAAGCAGTGATTGCAACAAAATGAGAAACACAAAATCAAAGTCAAGGTGCGACAAGGCTCTTAAAAAGGCGGAGGGAAGAAAGGTCCTTAGCTTCTTGGGGAAGTGCCAGCCACGCAGAGTACGCAGTGAAAAGGGGAGAGTGAAGTAGAAAGGAGGACTTGGGTTTCGGTAGGGAAAGGGAGTTTCTCGTGCTACGGGAAGAGAACCAGTTGAAACAGTGGAGGTGAGGTGGACACAGATTGAGTTTGAGAGAATGGATAAGGGTGACAAGATGTGAATTACGTCTCTTAGACAAAGGGGTAGTGTCAGCAAGGGCATAAAGGGTGGAAGATGGGAGCATGCAGGGTTTTCGGAGGAGGACATTGAGAACTTTTTTGTGGTGAATTTCGAGCTTGGCAGCACGGGTTGTGGAAATTCCAGCCCAAGCAGTATCTGCATAATCAAAAATGGGGCGTAGGTAAGCTGAGTAAAAGAGGAGTTTACAAGAGATTGGGAGATGGTAACAGTGAGAAGAGAGGATTCCAAAAGATGAACTTGATCGTTTACATATGTAATCGATGTGGGGTTCCCATGAAAGGTTAGAGTCAATGAAAATGCCAAGATGCTTATGGCTGGAGACTATGTCTATAGGCTGGGGGAAAGTGGGATGGAGGAGGGGCGGAACATCGGGCTGAGAAGGAAAGAGCATGGTTTTAGTTTTAGACAGATTGGGCGATAACCGCCAAGACGACATCCAGGAAATTACTCTTTGAATCCCGTTAGCTAGGTTACTCATCAGGCCAGTGATGTTAGGAGATGCCCGTAGGAGCGTTGTGTCGTCTGCGAACAGTGATGTGCCCGGGGCAGCTGTGGGCTGATCATTGACGTATAAGATAAAAAGAAGAGGGCCGAGGATGGAACCCTGGGGAACTCCGGATAGTACTGTTGTGTCGGCTGAGGACGTCCCATGTACCGTGACGTACTGCGTTCGCCCAGTTAGGTAAGATGTCAGCCATAGCAGGGGATTGCCGTCTACAGTAAATGATCCACGAAGCTTGGCCAAAAGCCCCTGGTGCCAGACGGTATCGAAGGACTTGGCAAGATCGAAAAAACAGATCCCGACTAGATCTCCAGCATCCCGATTAGTACTGGGGCCAATTCAAAAAATCGACCTCTAAAATACATGCCTTGACACATGTTGGCTAACAAGAATTTTTCGGTGTTATTTGATAGAATGATAATGTCTTCAAAAGTATCTTGGCCCAGTATGGCGTGTCCAATCGCGTCCAAAGGTCCCGAAATCACCCTCGATAGGAATACAAAATTGCCGAAAAAACTAAGTTCTCATCGGCTATATTCAAGCATTTTCAAGACTTTCTCGGTACTATATTGACTGGACCTGGGAGTTTTTTTACCCTTTTATGTGCCAGGAGCTATAGTAACACCGTACATACACAGGATGCGAACCGACGCGCACACTGATTTTGTGCGAGAGTTGGAAAGATTGAGCATCAAGTAGTGTAGTTGTGACATACGAGAAATGCTGTTACCTCGTTTGGACACTTTCTTCAAAGTTTTGCATTGACTCGCTGGCGCTTTTGCTGTCGGAACGTCCACGAATGGATCGATGCTAAATTCAGCAGAACCTTCATTACAATGTCATCTTGGCTCCCCGGAAAAGTAGGCATGATTCCAACAAGGAGCAGCACAACAATTATGTGTGGAAAGCAGGGGAAAGTCATCATAGCTTGCCAAGCCAGTTGTAACTATTCATAGGACTAATCTACAATCGTGGAAAGTTTCAGACCTGGCTAACTTCATCGGGCTGGAATGAAGGCTGGAATAAAGGCATTTACTTTGTGAGTACTGCTGCACAGGAGGTGTTATAGTGGATGAGCGTTTGATTCGAATCTACAAGAGCGGCTAGTGTTAGTACCATGATTTGAACACACCGACCGTGGTGATCAGCTACCATTTGCACAAAGCCTATTTACCAGCTCAACAGCTCTAGGACCGTTGAACTGCCTTAGGAGTGCCATGCTGCAGTGAGAGGGAGTATCTATGTGGTGTGGAGTGTTACAAAAACGAAATCCGAGTACCTGGAGGTAACTTATCCCAATATGCAACACCAGCAGTAGAAGAATCAGTTCTTGTCACAGAATTTGATGGCTGGGCCTAGGCAGTGTGAAACTACAGTTATACTTATAAAACACTAACTGCAAGCAAGAGTCCGATGTCCAATGTCATGGCTTCTCTCCGACTCCTATACTGATCACGGCACGTAGTTGATGCAATTCAAGAGCGGCGGTGAAGAGGGAAAACATGTTCATATAACACCTCATGTACTAGTGGCTAAAGAATTGTCCCTGACTGCAGGGCCAACAGTGATGGTGTAGGTGGCGGAGTAGAGATGGGCTCAGCTGTGCGGCGTAGAGTTTCCAAAGCTCAGACGGAAGAACAACTTCAGTTAAAGTGAAACACATGGAAGCGAAAGTATTCGCATCACAATGTTGGGATTGATCAGCTTTTTAAACTGCAGCTATTCACATGTGAGCGTTGTCCAACTGCAGCCTTTAAGTCTTTTCAAAGCATTTAAGTATAGTGACAAGCTAGCCAATGTTTGCACTGGTTTAATATCTACTAGTATGCAAAGGATTTTGGTATTTTCATTTTCATCATTTTTTCGTTACAGCACTGCCATCGCATACAAGTACAAGTAGTGTTGTCCCTCTTACATTGCTGCGAGATCTATCGTATTATCTACACGTACTTCGAGTAAATTAGTTCAGGTTGAAACTGTCCTACAGCACTTCTTTCCTTAGACTCTGACAGTTTCCTACCACCTCAGTTTTCCTTCTCCTGTTAGTACTTGGGTTACAATACCTATTCTCTCAGTTGAAGTGTAACGCCGAACCGTCTGACGCTTCTCTCGTGTTTGCAGTCTGATAATTATAGTAATGCATGCCTGTAAATAGTCTCATGTACCTGCTAGCTGCACATACATGTACACGTACCTCAATGCTAACATTCGATGCGACATGTAATGTACATGTAGAGGGGACGGTTTCAAATAGGACACCGGTTGCAAACCGGAACGGACTCAATATTCACTTTCTCTCTTGGTATTTTGATTAGAAAACATATGTCACAGTGAGACTACTATGTGTTATACTCCGAGCCAAAATTTCATGGCTCTGCGATGGCCAGAAGCGCCATATCAAGCAGGTGAGTTTTTGACGTGTTGCTTCGCACTGCGACTTGAGTTTTACGACTTTCGAAAAATCAACTTCTTGTCGCAGGTAAACAGCGGCTCGCCTCTCGCCAATAAAGCACCGCATACCAATCAAAACTAATGGAAGCACACACAAGGCTTATTGTTACTCTATACTGGCCGTCGTGGAGCGATAGCAATTACCTAATTTCAGACCCAGAGTGAATTTGACGTGCACTCTAAAACGTGTCCGGTTTGGAGCCACCTCTGATTTGAACTTTTTTGAAGCGAAAAATTGGGCAACTTGGAGGCAATGGGTCAACACAAAGGAGTGGCTCAGTTCGATCGACTCTGGCCCCAGAGCAAACTTCAACATTCCAGTTTCCTTCCACAAACATATTTCGAGTGAAAAATCAACGCTGATGATCGGTTTGGGTCTATACAAATTTGGCTGTCAAAACGTCCCGGTATCGAGCCGTCTCCTCTACATGTCCAATAGCCAAGTTTCACTGCACTTTGGGAATTTTGTTTTGACACTGTAAAAGAACAGTACTTGTCGCCGTACTGTATCTACTGCTTATTCTGAGCAAAATGAGGTGCTACTTGGCCATATACGTGTCAGTAAAAATGGATATAGGAGCAAATCTAGTTAGGTTGCCATGGTAATAACGGCCTTTTTCTATTTTGATGTTTTTCACCATGTTCGGACACAATTCGGCAATCGAAACCTATGCCATCGTGTTCAGGAGGCAAAAACCATCCGGGAATGATCATAAAATCCATGTTAGCAAACATGTGTCAAGTAAAAGTGAGAAATTTCAAATGGGCCCTAGGACTAGATGTCGACACACTAATTGCACCAGGCGCGTCAGCTGGAGGGTGGTAGAATCGCCTCTGCGAAATCCGGGCTGAGCTGAACTCAAACGTGACGAGACATGACAGTACAATTGGTCGTACAAAACGCGCTCACAGAGTTTGGAAACACAGGACAGTAGAGATATCGGACGGTAGTTTGATGCTTCGTGGCGGGACCCTTTCTTGTAGATCATAACATTAGCTGTTTTCTATGCAGAGGGAAAACGACCAGTGCGGAATGATAGGTATAATCCGCCAAGGGCTAGATCTACATGATTAGCGCTTGGCGGATTATGCCGGCATAATATTTGGCATAATCTTGGGATTTCGTCAAAAAATTATGCTGCGGCATAATAATTATACGGATTCCAACGTGTAAGGTCGGCATAATCTTTCGGTTTAGACAAAAAATATGCTTAGGGCATAATACAGCTTTGTCCTCCGGCATAATATACGGATTCCAACGTGTAAGGTCGGCATAATCTTTCGGTTTAGACAAAAATTATGCTTAGGGCATAATACAGCTTTGTCCTCCGGCATTATACGGATTCCAACGTGTAAGGTCGGCATAATCTTTCGGTTTAGACAAAAATTATGCTTAGTGCATAATATGTACAGCTTAGTCAGAAAGCCCTGGCGCCGCGTGTGTGTATGCGTGGTTTCTCAATCCTCTATGTACAGCGTAAATACATAGTGGAACCGAGCATAATTCAGCATATTTGTTGCCATAATTGTGGCATCATCAAAAGCATAATTTGACGATCGGCCGAGCATAGTCCGCCAATGGCTATACATGATTGAGATAAACCTTGTTTTAGTTCACACATGTTGCTCCACCGTGTTTCGTGCTGTCAAACCAACACCATGTAGATCACATGATTGTACAGTAGTACTAGTCGTCTGCAGATGCGCGGCCCCGGCCCGGCGCCGTATTCCTATAAAAATATAAATAATTGCAACATGATAATGAATGTCATATCATGTGCATTGTAATTTCCAGATTTACGTTTGACCCGGTCCACATGGCCACAGCCTAGCCGGCCTCCTTACGTAGGCTACAGTTTGTCAGCTGTACATGATTGTGACTGCGGAAATCATTCAAAGTACTGAAGTACAGTGTAGGTCAGTCGGAGGAGGTACCGGTATGCGTGAAAGAGACCTTCATGCAAAAACTGAACGTTACAGCATTCAATGGTTTTGTACTCCCTAATGTAATTGCTTCTTCACTTTTTTTAATTTCGGCCAGTCGGCTACTATCATTTGGTCTTGGGGGTTAGACAAGGGGAAGTAGCCATGTAGGGGCGTGAACCCGCCTTTCGGCACCGGCAGTTGCAGCTGGCTCGACTCTACTCGATCTACTGAGTGAAGAGAACCCACACATTCTTTACTTTGACTTGGTCCTTGTCACCTACTTGAAGAATTGGCAGCACATCAAAGTGAGAGATAATTATATCATAATAGAGAAAAGAAAGAAAGAAGATAATCATGGCCGTCTCAGCAAGCGGAGATCTTCTGCGTGACCTGGGCCTACCGAACGAATCCGTTGTCGACCTCGGCAACGTTGCAGTCGATCCCAACCAAGAACTCGGACGAGGCTCGGATGCTGCTGTGTATCGTATCCAATGGCATGGCGTAGATATCGCACTCAAAGTCCTCCACGGTCTGCTCATTCAGCCGGCTAATGTTGGTCGTCGAGAACTCATTCTTCGCTTTGGTCAGGAAATACTACGATTGTCGAAGCTCCGCCATCCCAATCTTTGCCAGCTCGTGGGCATTGCTCGGGTGGGCCAATCGCCTGCTCTAGCGGTTGAATTGCTGGAGCGAACACTGGAGCAATGTAGTATCGGAGATGGCAGAGAGCCAGAGCCTCAGCTGTTGTCTTATCTTGCTGATACAGCAGCTGCACTGCGCTACCTGCACTCCTTGCGAATTATACATCGTGACTTGGCTCCCAAGAACATCTTGGTGCGCAATGGAGTTGCGAAAGTATGTGATTTCGGCGTGGCACGCTGCTTACACCCCGAAGGACCTCGGCAGGAGCTGCAAGAAGCAGCAAGGATGACAGCGTGCCCAGGTACGATGTTGTTCATGCCGCCCGAAGCACTGCTTGAACGACCGGAGTATGATGAAGCTTTAGATATCTTCTCCTTCGGTGTATGTCTGCTGAGCGTATGGACAGGCAAACTGCCCTCAGCGGAGCTTGTCTTCGCTGACCGAAACAGACAGAACTGTTGTACTGACGGGCGGTAGGAGTCGACGAGAGCCTATTCCTGAGTTTGAGCGCAGAAGGTTGCACCTCGAGCTCATGGCGGATGGTCACCCTCTGAAGCCGATTGTTCTTCGTTGTCTGCGGAACCATGCATGCCACCGTCCCAAAGCTGAGAATGTTCACCGTGTTGTCAAGGCAGCTGCTAGTCTTGCTAGAGATATGATTTCAGTAAGTAGTGTGTCTTGGTAGTTGGTCTTGGTACATTGTACTTTACAAAAATTCGTAATGGCGGTTAGCAAATCTACAGTGCAGCTCAATGAAATCTGATTCAGTGAGTCTAAATTCTGCCCTGCACCGTATCAAATTCCCCAGTGTTTACAGATCCAGGGCTGCAAAGTGCCCAGTGCGCACTTGACTCACCTTTCTCCGGTTGTCATTGATCAGCACTGTAGTGTATGATGATTATCATAGAACGGTACTACACAAAGTCATGGTGCCAGGTTGTCCGTCTGTTCCAGGAGTGTTGTATGATCTGTGAGTCTTTCAGCTGTGTTGTATCTGTGAGACTACGGTAGTGTATCTAGAAGTCCTCGAATACAGTGAAACCTGTCTAAGACGCCCGCTCATGGGACCCTCGAAAGGTGGTCTCTGTTACCAGGTGGTCTGCTTATCCAGGGTCATTTGACTGGATGTAGCATCCCTTGGTCTTGGTTGTCAGTGGTCTTCTAGGACAGGTGGTCGCCCTATCCGAGTGGTTGCCTTGACAGGTTTTTACTGTATGTAGCAGTTAACTCTACATCACTTTGCTTTGGTTGCCATACCTCTATGCTCCTAGTTAGGGTGGAGCGAGTGTTGTGATGTATTTAGTTTTTCAAATCTTGTAGAAAGTCCGCCAGACTGTTGTGTTACAAACAAGAGAGCATCCCCTTGCAACCCCTGCTAAACCACAGGGTCATCGGACACACCACGGTCACTGCAGTATGGACCTAACCGCCTTTTGCCCCATGTTCCCCAGCAAATAATGAAAATCACTTATTTTTAAAAGACCACACCACACTAATTATGCCTTCCGACAACCTTAAGCCGTGTACCCGAACTTGAAAATCTTTATTCGGCTGTGTGGGATGGAAAGGACACACACAAAGATATAGGTAAAGCGATCGAGCTGTCATAACATTACTGAGCACTACATGATGTTGCGCACGAGATGCTTTTTCTTGGTACAGGACATGTACACGATACCATGGTCAGGGAGCTGCTTGTCACAACACATGAATGTGACGTTAGGCCAATCAAGGCATGGACCATATGCATGCAGTGCACACCTCTCGGTTTGGGGATGTGCATTGAAGCAGCCCATACTAACGGTCTATACCGTCCTCTCTTGGTCACCACTCTCCCTATTACCTTTATTGTAATTACTATTCATGTATTCCGCTTCAGATTTTCTTCCGTTTTTGTCTTTTGGTGCGTTACCGGCATGGCGATACTGAGACCTATTGGTCAGTGGAGTGCCTGTAGCCTCACCAGCACTGCTACTATCTGTGACTGTGGCGACCACCATTCAATGTCTCGTCTTCCTCTAACCGTACCCCAACTCTCTCTCTCTCTCTCTTTCTCTCTCTCTCTCTCTCTCTCTCTCTCTCTTTCTCTCTCTCTCTTTCTCTCTCTCTCTCTCTCTCTCTCTCTCTCTCTCTCTCTCTCTCTCTCTCTCTCTCTCTCTCTCTCTCTCTCTCTCTCTCTCTCTCTCTCTCTCTCTCTCTCTCTCTCTCTCTCTCTCTCTCTCTCTCTCTCTCTCTCTCTCTCTCTCTCTCTCTCTCTCTCTCTCTCTCTCTCTCTCTCTCTCTCTCTCTCTCTCTCTCTCTCAGCTCTCTTTTATCTGTCTTTTCTTAATCTTACTCTTTTTCTTTGTCAGCTTTCCTGGTGGTTATGTGCTTTTCAAGTAAATAAAAAAAATCAGGCGCGTAACACCGCCGTTGGAGGTGGTCTGGTCAGAGGGGGGTTGGGGGTCTCTAATTGAAATTAGGGTGCAAAATCCTGCATTCTGAGCGTAGTTGGGCCAAAAAGTGGTCCGGCTTTGCGGCTGCTACACCCCTATACACGAACATACGGTCATTACAACCACTCGCAAGATCTCCAAAATAACGCTATCTTCAGACCGTGTAACCCCTTAACCGGGCAAACACAGAGAGCGTGTGTGGGCAGGCGTGTGTTTACCGCCATATTGCCAGGTATGTCTTTACCACCATATTTATCAACCATAAGTACAGCTGCAGTGGTGTCTTCAACTTCATTCGCCCAAACACAGACAACCCGTGACTAAAAATACTTTTCCCATGGCCAATCGATGGTCATTATTCGCAAGATTGACTGTGCACATATCCCAACATTCGGTTTGAAGGGTGCCGGACAGTGACCATAGCGGAATACTACTTCTGAAATTCTTCAAACCAGTGAATTGTGATGTAATACATCTTTTGCCTACTTTTGGAATTAGTGAAGGAAAAATTAAGAACATGGACTTCAATGTTGATTTGTACTGTCTGGTCGTTTGTCTTTACAGTAAAGCTATTTGGTCTTCATGTGTGTTGTCTTCCTCTTTCGTGTGCTCCCTTATCCTGTTCAGCCTCAGCGTGATCCTGTTTCCATGGCTACAGTCATGTCTCAAATGAGTACACTACTGCAGCATGTTCAAGAACAGCAGACAGCGATAGGTGAACTAGCAGCTAGGCAGGAAGAGATGGGGGAGAATGTAGCAACTGTCAGCGACCGCGTTGCTACAATGGAAAGGACGATGGATGCTGTTCCTGACAATGTGGTGTCCATCAGTCAACAGGTGAGACTGGAAAAAACTGCTTTATTAATTTTTTTATCTCTTTTCTCTACAGCCACCACTCCTGCCTTCTTCTCCTAAATCTCTCCATGTAACAGTCTCTGTGTGTCTGACTTTGAATCTGCATCGCTGACACTCTTAACCTCTCTGTATCTCTCAAACCCTCAGTCTCTTTCACGTTCTTCTCTCTCTCTCTCTCTCTCTCTCTCTCTCTCTCTCTCTCTCTCTCTCTCTCTCTCTCTCTCTCTCTCTCTCTCTCTATCTCTCTTTCTCAGGGTAACTACAGTTTGTTTGGGTTTATTCAGCATTCTTCACAGCGCTCTAGTGGTGAACAATGATTTTTTGGCTAGAATTATCTAACTTCTGTTCACTTATCTCAATACGAGGCTAGGATAGTTGGAGCTGTGTAACTTCCTTGTAGTCCACAGGAGGATTTGATAATGTTATTATAGTCATGTCATCACCCGTATAATTCGGCTATATGCAGTGCTTGGCTATATGCAGTGCTAGGCTATATGCAGTGCTAGGCTACATGCAGTGCTAGGCTATATGCAGTGCTAGGCTATATGCAGTGCAAGGCTATATGCAGTGCTAGGCAACTCTCAGCCTACTGTGTACTGTAAGACCAGATATTTTAACGACAATTAAAGTTAGAGATCTCCGGAATTTAGTGGTTTAGCGAGCTGAAATTCTGAAAGAATTCTGCCTCAAAACTGGCACATGAATGTACATGTTCATCTCGTTTGCACATAATGCCTTCGAATGTTAACGAATTATTTAAAAATTTGTTAAATCCTTGGAATTGAATGTTGAATGTTAACATTACTGGCCTTACAGTATCGTGAATGCTGAGGATAATCTCAGTGATCTCCAAATCTCAGTGATCTCCAAATCTCAGTGATCTCCAAATCTCAGTGATCTCCATTGTGTGATTGTGATGTGCTGTACATTCTTCTGTGATTACTTGTCACAGCTACAGTGCCTGAATCAGAGATCTGTCGATATCAACCAGCGAGTTTGCGCGATCAACGTGCGGACTAACAGAGTGATGCAAGGACATGAGAGCATTGAGCAACGCGTCACAGCTATCAACAACCATACTGCTGACATGGTGCCCCGTGTCACCGCTATTGACAATCGCATTGCAAGTATGGAGCAGCGACTTTCAGCCACGGACACTGACAGTAGTACCGGTACTATACAGCCCAGAGTTGAACGAGGGCCCGCCCCGCCACGCCCGGCCAGTCGCAGAACCGCTGTGGAGCAGAGAGCTACGACTGGCAGTGATCATGCCATGCTGCGACAAGGCCGTCAGGTGGGTGAACTCGCCAATAACACATCTCCACCAAACCAGCAGTTGTGTTTAAGGAGAGAGCTTGAAAGCTCAGGGCCCTCGCTATGCATTTTTTACCTAGGATATAATGTGTTATGCGATAGCAACAATGCGATTGCCGTGCACATGATTTTGCATTGCAAAGACCTTCCCCTGTTTTCTCGGAACAGACATCTCGATGCTGAACGAAAACACAGACTGAAAACTGCTGCACCAAGAAAACACTGAGACTACTACGTAGACCTACAGAGTACAATCTGAAAGCACTATTTGATTATGTGGCCGTCTTTCTTTCACGGTACGGGAGCGTATGGGACGGTACGGGACACATACAAGATACCGCGCCATTGGGGCGTCACGTGAATGGCCCTACCTCAGATGCCACGAACAAATGCCGAATTACAGAGGTGTGGACCCTGCCTAGCGCCAGACGCTACTGAAGTAGCGTGTTTAGCATAGCTACGGGAATAAGTTATATTTATGTGTGTATGGGTGCTGGATATGGGATCCAGTTTGGGGATCATCATAACTTAATACCAGCCCTGGCTGATGATAAAAGGAATAATCCCCATTCCTATGCTGTCACCACTAACACCACGATTACCACTGCCATCATCACTGCCATCACCAGCACCAGCACCAGAACCAGCAGCAGCACCATCACCACCACCACCAACACAAACACCACCAGCACCAGCACCACCTCATCCACTACCACCAGCATCAGCAGCACCACCCCCGCCCCCAACTCCATGGTTGGGAATTCCCTGATGATGCCCAATGTCCACTGAAGGTTGTGGAAGATTGAATAGTGCCCTCCACTGCTGTGGTGTGAGTATCTTTGGGTCGTTGCTGAAATAAAAGGAAAACAAGAAAGATAAAAGCATCATTAGAATTAGTGAATATGATTAGAATTATGTAATTCTTCAAATTTCTTTCACTCATCTTCGCCTTAAACGCAAAATATTTCAATTCATTCAAATGCTTTCCTCG